GAGGAGCTGAGTTTATAAAACTCACTTTACTTAATACTACAATTACCTGAGAATTTGATTTGGGAAAAATTAAGAGGTTACCAAAATATCCAGAATGCATGCCAGAATGTATCACTGCTAAAGCACATATGACCACACAACCTCTGGTAATGGACACCTCACAAATAAGGGGAGCTTATTGAAAAAAAAAAAAATGTTGTTGCACTAGACAATCATAATATCACTACTAAAATTTACCATTTTATACTGGGCTTTAATACTTCTGTCATATAACCAATACCATAGCAACTCTCTTCTGTGAAACAGGCTAGTATTTTACCCATTTTAGAAAGTTCATGCAGGGAAATTGTCTTTCCCAATGTCCAATATATAGAATTCTAAGATCCACCAGCACTTATTTCTACAAAGACAATTAAAACCATTAATTCAACAAAGATTTAAAAAGCCTACTTATAAGACAATATTTTCTTCTAATACAAACCAAGTTAAAACTAAGTTAAAATATCTGCAGCCAAATAAAAGTCATAATACAAAGAAGAGTGTGGAATGACTTTCTTCTTTTATTATTAGAGTCAGAAAGAATTAGAAATTTTTGGAATCAAGAGTCACCTCAGAAAATAAAAGACAATGATGAGAATTATACTTTTGAACAACTAGTAATGATTCCTAGGGCTGAGGTTGTGGCTCAATGGTAGAGTGCTTGCCTATTATGTTTAATCCTCAGCCCCACATTAAATAAACAAATAAATAAATAAATAAATGTATTATGTTCATCTACAACTAAAAAAATAAAATTAAATTTAAAAAGAGCCAGGTGCAGTGGCGCATTCCTGAAATCCCAGTGGCTCGGGAGGCTGAGACAGGAGAAATCATGAGTTAAAAGCCAGGCTCAGCAACAGCAAGGTGCTTAGTCGCTCAGTGAGATCCTGTCTCTAAATAAAATACAAAACATAGGGCTCAGGATGTGGCTCAGTGGCCGAGTGCCCTTGAGTTCAATTCCTAATACCAAAAATAATAATAATAATAATAAAGAAATGATACCTATACTGAAAAGATAACCAAGCTTTTAAATCATGTGGATTTATCAAATCAAATGTCATGCTATAAGCCTCATTCTTATTCTGTGATAGACCCTACTCAAATGTTCAGGTAAAGGACAAGACTAAGTAGATGTATCTCAATTTTCCTCACAGATTTTTTTTCCATCAATTGGGTTCAAATAATTTGAAATTTAAAGGATAATAACAAACTGACTTAAGAAAAGATATAAGTTTAGTAAATAAGAAAAGTATGCTTCTAAATGCATAATTAATAATTCACATCTACAGATAAAAATTTTTTTACCTTCAAGAAATGTTAAGGATTTGTAACAAATTTTGATAAATAGTACCATACATCTCTGGGTCAAACCACATTAACATGTACAAAAGCCAAAGTTTAATATGAGTGAGGTACATGACATATAAACATAATACTCAAGTGACAGTAATACCATATCACTTTCAGGCTGGGGTGCAGCTCAGTGGTAGAATGTGTGATTAGCATGCATTAGGCCCTGGGTTCAATCCCCAGCACCAAAATAAATAACATCATTATCACTTTCTAAGGATTACATACACTGATTTAAAAAATTAAATTTCTACCCACCTACCAACGTGAATATACACAAACACAGAATCAGTACTAAAATCTTTATATTACATGATCAGACATCTTTCCCAAAGAACACTCAAGATACTTTAAAGTACCACTAGAGAGCTTTATTAAATAAATCTGAGTATGAGCACAAACAACTTGAAGAAGACACGAACAGCTTATCTAGCAATTACTAATTCTGCAAATTAAAAGCAGACAACAAAAACTTCAACTTTTAAGTCAAATCTATGCACTTAGCAGGATACACGGCACAGCATATATAAAAAAAAAAGAAATCCCTTCAAACTTCTAATTAAAAGATTTGAGTATAAAATCTACATACAGATAAGTGAATTAGTAGTAAAAGAAAAACAAAGTCTCAAGAAAGTCAATGAGAAATCAACGACAAATCATCTAGGAAGGAAGCTAACCTGAACAGTCTGTATTTGTGGTGAATGAATAACCGATGGTTGTGGTGTCTGAATTACTCCCTGGACATGTACAGTTTGGCCCGAAGGTAATTGCACTAGGGTTACAGCTGGGGAGCCTCTTCCAGTGCCTGATCCAGCTACAGAAACCTGCAAAAATGATCATCATTGAGGATTAAAGCTGAACCTTAATTTGTTATTGTCTATTTTTAAGAAACACCACTCACTACTATGACTAACTTCTCTTTTCTTTCTCCTGCTTCTAAGAAATGACAAATCAGCTGGGGTACTTACCATTAGGAGTTGGTCACTGTCCTGGAACTGTCATTCTCTGATGTGACAGATATTAAAGAACCCATGCTCCTCACTTTTGGTGCCCATGCTTCGATGGATAAGAATGTTCCAAGCACAAGGTTCTAAAGCAGTTAAACTACCTCACTACGACCTCATGACTACTAACAGTGACATCTTTTTGAGGCTAAAGTATAAAAGTACCCCAACTTAAGAGAAATCGAAGATAAAATGTCAATATGGTGAATTTTTACACACATATGTATAAGATCTATAATAATTCTAATACTATTTTAGATGTAAGCTGATACCCTGTCTCTATTTTAATAATAAGTCACAGTAATTTTTATGCCCCTATAATCACATAAAAAAGGTCCAGACCAAAGAAATTTCAGGTCCTTTCAAGCCCTAGTATCTCTGATGGAGAGAAAGCCTCAGAGCTGGCATGGCCTCTTGGCACTCCTCCTCTCCCCAGAGACGGAGCATCCAAAGAGAGGACCAAAATTTCACTTAGCTTTAAGCAGAGAAGAGCATGTAGTCATTAAGTTACTCTTGTTTTCAACAGAGATCCCTACCAGCAAGACAAAATACCTCTACTCCCTTGAACTTGAAACCTGCTAAGTTTTCTAAGTAGTAAACAATTCTGTCCTATAGGCCAGTTTTCTTTTAGAAATTTTGCTTCATTTCTCTAAGATTTACTATTTACTATGACTTACTCAAAACAGTCAAAGACCTTGGAAATAAAATAAGCCATTTGTATCTTTCTTTCTGTTTTTTGTACTGGGGATTGAATCCACTTAGTCACATCTCCAGCCCTTTTTGTATTTTATTTTGAGACAGGGTCTCCCTAAGTTGCTGAGGCTGCCTTTGAACTTATGATCCTCCTACCTTAGCCTCCTGAGCTGCCGGGATTATAGTTATATGCCACCATGCCTAGAAAGCCACTTGTTTCTACCATGAGTGGGAGCAGAACCAAAAGATATTAGTTTTTGAAAGAAGCCTCTGTGTGTGATGTCACCTTTAAAGAATACAAATACAATCTGCTTTACTAGTACTTCAAAAGACATTAAAAATTGGGTTTACAACAGTAAGATTTATTTATGTCATTCACCTAGAAAGCAAATTTCTCTGGCAGTGTGAAAGTTAAATCTTTTATCCATACAATACAAATATGCATTGAGCATTATACTAGTCTCACTAAGGTAGAGCACAGAATTGATAAAAGACCTAAGAAACAGTAGCACACCAAAAAGCATAGAACAAATTGCTCCTCTTTATGGACCATGAATGTTTTCAGAATACAGAATTGAAAGATCAGTGTGGACGTGAACAGTAAGTGAAGGCTTTGTGTGCAAGTCAGAGCTTGAA